GGGCCAAATTGTAAATAATCAAATTCTTAGGTACAATATGAAATTTAAATTTTGGTTTATTCCGGGTGTTTTATTTTCTTTTAACAGTCGATTGTTTACCGACCAAACAGTCAACTGTTTACCGACCAAACAGTCGACTGTTAGCCGACTTAACAGACACGACTTTTAAGAACAGTATGTCTGTTCGGAATTTTGAGGCTTGTCTGAAAGGTGATGACTATTCGAATGGCCACGAACAAGTCTATAAATAGCCAGCCTCTCTACCAAAAAATTTACACCATTTTCATTGCAAACTTTCTGTGCTTTGAATCTCATTTCCCTCTCTCTCGTTTTGATATTGTCTCGAAGTAAAACACACTTCGTTAATTCGTTGGAACTCCTGCAGATTGTAGTGCTGCTTCCGTAGGAGACGAAAATTCGTTCTATCTTGGGAAACGATTGCTGGACGCCTTTAGCACCATTGAAGGCAGCAAATTCGTTTTAAGGAAATATCGTGAAATCGGTGGGCTCGAATTACTGTTTAGATCCTGTTGATCAATTCTTACATTCAGGTGATTCTGTCGGATTGTTTTCGAAGGAGTAATTTCAAACTCAAGAAACAACAATAGAGACAGAGAGAGAGAGCTATTATGATATGATCATTTTATCTACTTATATATGTTGCTGGTTTCAAATAGGACCTTTAGTTTTTCAATCAGTTTGGGGCTTATATAGGGCCAGATCTAAAAAGATTATATTGTATAATTTTAATTTTGTTGATTACAAATGAGTTCTCCTTGAATTTTTATAGTTTCACTTTCTCTTAAATGGACAATTGAGATTAAATATATTTTATAGTTCATAATTTCATTTTTTTATTTTTGTCTAGACTAGATTCTTTTTGGTAGATATGTTTCTACGAACTCTTTATTCAACTATTATAAATTTTTATTTCTTACTAAGTGGTACATCTCTCTTCTATATTCTGAAGTACTTGCTAATAGATTTCTCTCTAAATTTATCAAGTCTTCCGCGAATCTCTTCAAAGTTTTGTCAAATATATAGGTTGGATGCAAGATTTTTAGCTAGTTTTAACCTTTGATCTATTTTCATGTTACACATCTAGGTCCATTGCATACTCCAAGTACATCATTGAGTGCAAGCATTGACTGCATTTAAATATTTTTAGTTTTATCACAATCGGCCGCCATCATTTTTGAAAATGTAGATATTTTTAAACATCTATAACTCTTATATTGAAACTTAAATATATTAAGAGTGATTAAGAATGGAATATGATATGTATTTTTTAATCAATGATGAAAATTAATATTCTGGCAAAATTAGCATATAAAACTTGAGAATCACCTAATTTTAACTTGTTTATATTTATACATTTTCTTTTGCTAGTCCTTATTGTGAAGAATGAATTCTTACTTGCACTAGAGACAGTTGTGTTAATATCACTTCTTTTTATACTATTTCTTTGTACTAACCTCAACTTCTTTTTATATAATATTAATTATTGGAACCCATTTGTAGGTTCCCTGGATTGGAAATTTTATACGAGAATTAATCAATAGATATATGAAAATCGTTACAAATAGCAAATTCGATATTTTCTCTCTGAAAAAATGGTCGACTGCTTCAGCAATTAAAATTTATGCAAACTATGTCCCCGTTTGACAATAATTTTTATAAAACTTTTTTTTCTCAAATTTATTTTCAACCACACATTTTCACAATAAAATATTTTGTACATAAACTAAAATTTTTTATTCTACCATGTGATCGTACGTCACATTAGTGATTTTGGATGGATTATCTAACCAAAAAGAAAATTGTGATTCTGATTAATTTTATATCATATAATTGTGACAATTACATATGGCATGAGTTCATGTAAGACGTGACAAAAAATTGTGATTACTTCTATCTTGTGAAATTGTGGCAACTTCATGTGGCGGTTGTTTGTGTAGATTAAATAGTGCTAGCTGCTGCGATGGAATGGGAATCCATTTGTGTCACCCACAGGGGACAAAATTTTTAGCTAGTTTATTATGCAGTTTACAAAAAGGGAAAGAACAAGATTGGACCCGAGAAAGAGCTTCCTATCCCTATAAAGCCGTCTTCCCTTGTTCATTCTTGGTTGAGTATAGTATCCCGGCCTATTTCAACTACTAATAAGGGGAAAAGACTGAGTAGTACAACTCATAGCATGGGGGTGATAGTCACAAATATCCTTCCTATTCACCAAACCAAACATTTCAAAGATGGGGTACTTAGTTCGTGCTTCTATAAAGAAGAGCCATCTCTTTCTACCACACGTTCCTATCAATATCGATTAGAGTATGTTGAAAGAGAAATTTGCACAGGCCCCCACGAATACCAACAAAGGTGGAGTTCATGTTAGATTATATCTCCTCTTTCCCTATTAGCATTTATCCTTAAATAACATATCGATTCTTCCAGTGGTCTCTCTCCCACCTAAAGCCCGTCCTTCCAACTTTAGTGCTCGCGGAGCTTTTGGCAGTAAGTCAAAAGTGTAAATGATATTCCCTATCTAAGACTATTTCCAATCTTCCCTGAGTCCTTTGAACAGTGCTTAGGTCGCGCGTAGAAAAATCCTTATTCATCTTCTTCGAACCCTCTACTCGTTGGGATTGAAGAGAATCTTTGAAATTTGAATTTCTTCATTGTTATATAAGAAATTGCTCATTAAGTCTTTCCCTATTCTATGGCCTTTTCTGCTTCCGTTGTATAGATTTTATTTAAAAGTTTTAGGGGCATACTTTCTTCTTTTCTTCAATATTTGGGGACAGTCATAGCATTTGTATCTTTCACATGATCTCTATTTTTTTATTTTTTATTTTGAATTTTGCTACTCGCACATAAAAAATGGTGCATGAGTAGTTACGTAAAATGATATGGAAGAAAAAAATTGGATGAAAAAAGTTGATCATGTTTTAAATTGACAAATTGTAGAGTGCCGTGTGGACATTATGTAATCCCTTACGTAAACCTTGATATACATGTAGCAAATTCATTTTTTTAATGTATTTTGCAAGTTTATTGAATGGAAACATAGCCATTTTTTAAATTTATTTTATCGCTCCTTGCTATTGGAGCGACATACCAAAAAGGAAAATTGGAATAAACAATTTTGATTCATTCTCTTTTGTAAAGCGTCTGTATCCGCTTTCTGCCTATGTTATGTCGAGTCAAGACGAAATTAGACATAACACGATTCCGAATAGAAAATCTCAATCATTTCTATTTTGATCATTTCTTTTCTTCTTCAATTGTATCAAATCTATGTTTTGGAACCAACAATGACCAACACACACTTTTACTTTACTTTAACTCATTAGATTCAATGTTAGGTTTATTACATAATAACATTATGGCTCATATAATGGTATCACTTCTATGTTGCAAAGTATTAACCACAAATTTGGTGGCTCCTTGACTATATAAATTGAAATATAATGATTATTTTTTTCTTAGTACAAATTGGGAACAATTCATTCTCTCCAATCTCCACATCGTGATAAAAAAATTATTTAAATTCCTATAATTTGGGAACAGTGTCAAAAATGAAAAGAAAACTATATAAAAAAATCTAAATTTTTTTAATTAATTAAATTCCTAAATATCTTATTAAAAAAATATTAGTAAACTATTTTTTCGTGATTAAAAAAAAAGAGAGAGAGAGAGAGAGAACATGTCATCTAAAATTTTGGAAACATTATAAAAAATATAATAAAATTATAAGCAAAATTTTTGAATTATTAGATCCCTAAATATCTGATCTAAGAATTTTGTATTAATAACTTAATTTTGTTAAAAGTAAAAGTCAAATATTCGACTCTAAATTTTTTGAAAAATGAATTTGAATGAAAAATTTCTTTACGTGATAGCTTATTTTACTTAGAAAAATAAATTAAAACTTATTTAAAAAAAATTTTAATTAAAAAATTATTTTTTTAAAAATTATTTTTTATACATAGTACAAAGTTACCATTTTACTTTTTTTATTTTTTTTTATTTTTAAAATTAGACCATGTTTGACAACCATTAGTTAGAAAAAGGATAGTGATTTTTAGGAGAATGAGTGATTAAAAAGTTAGGAAAAATTTTGAGTTTACATATTAAATATTTTATTGTGTGAATATGTGGCTGAAAATGAGTATGTGTAAAAAAAAAAAAAAAAAAAAAAAAAAAACAAACACTGACCGTTTTACAGCTCAGTTTCTAGGTAATTTTTGAAATTTTTGCATTCCTATTATTACATATAACATATTCATGTCTAAATTTTCTGTTTTCCTTAACAAAATTAATCAGGTTTCTGAATATTACCAAATGGATTTTGATTGAATGTCAAGGAAATGGGTATCTATATTTTCTTTTTTGAAGTAAATTTTGGTTTTGATGACATTATGTCAACTTTATCTGACTTAAAAAAATTACTTGCAGGGTCCGCATGGAGTAATTTTTAGATTTATAACTGAAATAGGGGAATGTAGTAATTAATTTAGGTCATCTGAGAGAGACGGACGTGGGGAACTCATCTGAAAAGGTTAAAAACAAATTTTCGTACCTTTGACGAGTTTGGGCTTATGTCCATTTTGCGGTTGTACATTCTTTATTGATAAGTCGACAGAAGTTGTCTTTTATTGGAAATAATTCTTGTTTGTCAGACTAGTCAGAAATCTCTTCTCGTAGCTAAATTTCCTCTCAATTTTCGGAGTTGGTAAAATTTAGAGGGTGTTTGAAAAGTATTTTTACGTAAAAATGTATTTTAAAATAATAATTTGATGGAAAGTGCGTGGTTGAAAAATAAGGAAAATTTTTTTATTTACGTATAATATTATTTTAATAAAAAATTTATAGTTAAAAAGAAAGGAGAAAAAAATGGGTACCAAACGAATGCTTAGTACACCGACCAAGCGCCTGACCACACGCTCTCCACAAGGGGCGTGACACCCATTTCCATCTCGCCAAATAAGCAAAAATGATGACACAAATATAGAGCCGCTCTGCAAGCAGCAAGACCCCTTTCCTTCTACTTGCTCCTCTTCCTTCCCAGCACTTTGTACCCCCGATTCTCGCTCTTCCGAAGGTACTCGCACCACCCATTTCGTTTATATTTTCTTGTTTCTGCTAAATTCTCTATTGTCTCTGTTTATTTCAACATTTTTTTTTCTTTTTGTTTTTCTTTTTTTTTTTTTTTTTTTTTTTTTTTGTTTTTTTTTTTTTTTTTTTTTTTTTTTTTTTTTTGTAGATTTTTGGTTTTTTATCTACCATTTTCTGTGTCTTAAAATTTTTTTTGTAGTAGTGAATTTTATCTTGCTGGTAAGAATCCGTAATCAATTCTAAGTATTTAAATGCTTTTCATGTTAAAGTGCTAATGAATGGGCGTACTTTTCTATAATTAGCATATATGTGGGCACTGAAAACAATCTTGTGGATAATAGGTGGTGACATGTCACTTTAGGAAATCTGGGCTTATGTATAAATGATAGTTATTATGAAGTAAAAACCTTCCGTGATTAATGAAAGACTGGTGTTTGATCAAGGATTGATCTAAAATTTGAATTTGATCAGAACTATGGCGTCTCACATTGTTGGATACCCCCGTATGGGTCCCAAGAGAGAGTTGAAATTTGCTCTTGAATCCTTTTGGGATGGCAAGAGCAGTGACCAGGAGTTGCAGAAGGTGGCAGCTGACCTCAGGACTTCCATCTGGAAGCAGATGGCTGATGCTGGCATCAAGTTCATCCCCAGCAATACATTCTCTTACTATGATCAGGTTCTTGACACAACTGCAATGCTTGGTGCAGTCCCCTCAAGGTACAAATGGACTGGTGTTGAGATTGGATTCGATACTTATTTCTCCATGGCCAGAGGAAATGCCTCCGTGCCTGCTATGGAAATGACCAAGTGGTTTGACACCAACTAGTAAGTCATAGATGAAATCTCTTGCAAATTTTCTAATTTCTATGCCACTGATGTTCAAATATTGATTAATGTTGATTTTCTTGATTCAGCCACTTCATTGTCCCTGAATTGGGACCCGATGTGAAGTTCTCCTATGCTTCTCGCAAGGCAGTGGATGAATACAAGGAGGCTAAGTTGGTATGTGATATGTTAGAATCTTCTCACATCTTACACAGTTGTGACTAGTGATTATTGCCCTAATATTTTTGGCAAATTGCATTTGTGATATAGGTTATTCAATAGTTCAAGATTCACATAAAGTTGCATGTTGCACACGTTGCAGTTCATTAAAAAATTTGTTTAATATTTTTACTTGACTTGATTGATGTGATATTTTCCTTCATGCAGCTTGGTGTAGATACAGTTCCAGTACTTATTGGCCCTGTCACATACTTGTTACTCTCAAAACCTGCCAAGGGTGTTGAGAAAACTTTCCCTCTTCTTTCTCTTCTTGACAAAATCCTTCCTATCTACAAGTAAGAACCGCTATTTTATTGTTGATCAGAGTATACCATTTTATTTATCAGGATTGGCATTAAAATGTACCACCACCCCTGCAGGGAAGTAATTGACGAATTGAAGGCAGCTGGTGCTTCATGGATTCAGTTTGATGATCCTACCCTAGTGTTAGACCTTGAATCTCACCAACTGGAAGCATTCACAAAGGCCTATACTGAACTGGAATCATCCCTATCTGGCCTTAATGTTCTTATTGAGACCTACTTTGCTGATGTCCCTGCAGAAGCATTCAAAACCCTTACTGCTCTAAAGGGAGTTAGCGCATTTGGTTTTGACTTGGTTCGTGGAACTAAGACTCTAGATCTGATAAAGGGTGGATTCCCATCAGGCAAGTACCTATTTGCAGGATTGGTTGATGGAAGGAACATTTGGGCAAATGATCTGGCTTCATCTCTCAGCATCCTGCAAACTCTGGAAGGCGTTGTAGGAAAAGGTAGGTTGTGCAGAAGTTGCAATTTAAGCTACACACATTATTTCTATCGAAAATTAACATTTTCCAATGATTTGTTATGCAGACAAGCTTGTGGTCTCCACGTCTAGTTCACTTCTCCACACTGCTGTTGATCTCATCAATGAAACTAAGTTGGACGCAGAAATTAAATCATGGCTTGCTTTTGCTGCCCAAAAGGTTGTTGAAGTAAATGCATTGGCAAAGGCATTGGCTGGTCACAAGGACGAGGTATGCTTTATACTGTAATTTTGAAATTGATACAGGGAGTTGTTTCATAATAGGACTTTAAATTTGGCCTCAAAGTTTCTTTCCCCTTGATTCTAGTTTTATTTTAACATTTTCTCTGTTTTTATTGACTCTTTGTGTCTGTCTCCTGTCATTTTATTCTCAGGCATTCTTTTCTGCTAATGCTGAAGCTCAGGCTTCTAGGAAATCCTCTCCCAGGGTGACTAATGAAGCTGTCCAGAAGGCTGTAAGTGATTCATTTGCATATTTTTTCTTTTAGGCGTTGGTTGCTTTTTTACATAGATCTTATGCTTACCCGCCTATGCTTGCTTTTTTGTCACTTAGGCTGCTGCTTTGAAGGGTTCTGTCCACCGACGTGCTACAAATGTTAGTGCTAGGCTAGCCACCCAACGAAAGAATCTTAACCTTCCTATTCAACTAAGCACCACTATTGGTTCATTCCCTCAGACCATTGAACACAGAAGAGTTTGCAGTGAATACATGGCTGAGAAGTGAGTGATTCCTGATTATTATTCATTCTGCATTTAAAATAATCCTTTGGAAAATTCTCCTGAAAGTATGGTATTCCCACATAGGATCTCGGAGGAGGAATATGTTAATGCCATCAAAGAGGAAATCAGCAAAGTTATCAAGATCCAGGAAGAGCTTGATATTAATGTTCTGGTTCATGGAGAACCCAAGGTAATGCTGCACTTGTCCAAGAATGTCGTACTTTTTGCTGATACTAAATCGATACATCATTTTGGTGCATGCTTAACGTGTAAAAGGATTCTATAATGTTAACCTTCTGGATATCAATATTTTAGAGGAACGATATGGTTGAGTACTTCGGAGAGCAATTGTCTGGTTTTGCCTTCACTGATAATGGGTGGGTGCAATCTTACGGATCTCGCTGTGTGAAGCCGCCAATCATTTATGGTGATGTGAGTCGTCCCAAGCCAATAACTGTCTTCTGGTCCACTGTTGCCCAGAGCATGACCAAGCGCCTGATGAAGGGAATGCTCACTGGCCCTGTTACCATTCTCAACTCGTCTTTTGTTCGAAATGACCAGCCAAGGTAATTGGAGAAAGTATTCCACTCACAAACTCAGTCATCTTTCTTAATTAGGATGAGAGAGGAATAGATGGATAGAAATATTTCAATTTATCTTTTTTCGTAATTTAGTACATTATTAACTTGATATATATTTTACTTGTTCTCAGATTTGAAACTTGCTATCAGATTGCTCTGGCCATTAAGGATGAAGTAGAGGATCTTGAGAAGGCAGGCATCACCGTTATCCAAATTGATGAGGCTGCATTGAGAGAAGGCTTGCCCCTTAGGAAGTCCGAGCATGCTTTCTACTTGGATTGGGCCGTCCACTCGTTCAGAATCACGAATGTCGGCGTTCAGGACACGACCCAGGTGAAGACCTTGCATTCCCTCGTGCTCGACACTCACATGCTATTGTTTATGTTTGTTAACGAGATTATTTTATTTCGTTTCCAACAGATCCACACCCACATGTGCTACTCTAACTTCAATGGCATCAGCCACTCTATTATTGATATGGACGCTGATGTGATCACCATTGAGATCTCTCGTTCTGACGAGAAGCCCCGATCTGTCTTCGGCAAGGGAGTGAAGTATGGTACTGGAATTTTCCCAGGTGTTCACGATATCCGCTCCCCCAGAATAAAATCAACGGAAGAATTTACTGACAGATTTAACAAGATGCTTGCAGGGCTCGAACCCAAAATCTTGTGGTTCAACTCCGCTATGGTCTCAAGATTGGCAAGTACGCTGAAGTTAAACTGGCCCTCCAGAATATGGTTTTTGTCATTCTATCCCGTTTTAGCAATTGCTTTATTTATTATTTGATGGACACGCTTGCAGAAATTCCAGAACGACCTGATGCCAATAGAGATGTAGAGAAGAAGCTTCTATACTTGCAAAAGGTATTATGGTTTATTTGTTGGTGACGATACTAAGAATAAAATACCACTCAGCTACATTGCTACAGGCTATTAAACTCGCTTGAACTCCTACTTAGTCTTGTTAAGATCAAATTAGTTAGATCCCGTTATCTATTTATTTAGCACTTGTTTGATTCCCATTATTTTTAAAATACATTTTTCTCTGTCTTATTTTCAACTAAGCATTTTTTAATAAAATAATATTCATGCAAACCCAAGACTTTTCATTATTTTTTAACCACGTATTCTCCATCAAACCACTTTTCTAAAATGCATTTTTGGAGAATAATGGGGCTCAAACCGGCCCTTAATATGTTTTCTTTGTATACTTGTTTGATTTTAATCTATTCTTGGCCTCCTCACTTTCGAGCTTATAGTATTGCATATTCATATTATTGCTATTAGGTTGTGTTTAATGTTGATCGTTGAGTCTGTTAGCTATGAGCAAAGGAAACTGTTTGTTTTCCCTTGCTTAATACCATCATTAGCGAACCGGCATTTGCTGCCAAGCAGCATTGACATGCTAATTAGTTAACTTTATAAAATTATATAATAATAGCTGATGGTCATTATTTGATTAGAGTGTAAAACTAAAAATCTGTAAATCTCGAATTTGATAGATTTCCCTTAAATTCATGCCTAATTGACATGAAGAAGCTGGTGAATCTCAGTTTGTTATCTTTCCACATTTCATGTATATATATGCCAAACATGTGGAAACCCAGGTAGTGTCTTAGTTGGATGGAAGATTTCATGCACCAAATACTATCAGATCCCTTACAATTCGCCTCCATATGTCCTTCGTTGGTGTTTGCCTTTCAGGACTTCAAAAGATTGTTTGTAGTTGTGGGAATAAATTTATTGCATGTTTGGTTGGTGATTAATTATAATTTAAGTGATTATAAGTCGTGGATCCTACGGAATGTGTAGATAAAAAGTATAGTTATGGGTACTACAAAAATATGTTGATAAAAAGTATGTTTGACTTGAAGTAATAATAAAATAATCACCAACTAAATATGCACTTTTGCTGCCCGTGCCTTGCACAATTCTAGACCACTTAAGTGATTAAATGAGTCTAAAAAGTGACCGTTAGCCTTGCATCTGTTTCTGTTTTCTTTCCTTTTTTTTCCTGCTACATTATGAAGAAGCTTTATTTCTAAACAACAAATTGAAATCCATAGAAAATGATTGCAAAAAATTGTGTAATTCTTTGATGTATTACCCGGCACAGACAGTCACGGACTTGGGAGCAGTGCTGGATGCTCAAGGAGACGTGATCTATAATATTGAATCACAGGTAAAGAAAACTCAAACTCGCCCTGCTGTCTGTGGGTTACCTTGTGAAAACTATGAGAAAGCCATGTAAAAAAGCTATTTATGATCTCTTCGACCATATTTGATATCAATTACTGAATTCGACAATACGAAGATTTTAATTTCATTACTATCAAATCCTGCCCGATACTACGTAACAAACGTGCTCTTTGTGTATATAGTCGGACTGATCTCCACAACCGATTTTCTCAGGTTTCATCTGCAGTCGACTATGTGCAATCCGGTAATGCTGCTCTTCAAAAAAAAGTGGGTAATAGTTATGGATACTACAAAAATATGTGGATAAAAAGTATGTTTGACCAGAAGTGATAATAAAACAATCACCAACCAAATATGCACTCTTTCTGCACGTGACTTGCACTATTCTAGACTACCTAAGTGATTAACCGAGTCTAAAACTAGCTGTTAGCCTTGCACCTGTTTCAGTTCTTTCACCTTTTTTTCTTGCCATGTTATGAAGAAACTTTGTTTCGAAAGAACAAATTGAAATCCATAGAAAATGATTGCAAAAAGTTGTGTAATTCTTTGATGTATTACCTGGCACAGATATCCTTGGACATGCCTGCATTGGTGGATGCTCAAGGAGATGTGATCTATAATATTGAATCACAGGTAAAGAAAACTCAAACTCTCCCTTCTGTCTTCAGGTTACCATGTGAAAACTATGAGCAAGCCATGTAAAAAAGCTATTTATGATATCTTCGACCATATTTGATATTGAATTCTACAATACGAAGATTTTAATTTCGTTACTCTCCAATCCTGCCCGATGCCACGTAACAAATATGCACTTTTTTGTATATAGTCGGACTGATCTCTACCAACCGATTTTCTCAGGTTTCTTCGGTAATCAACCATGTGCAATCAGATAACACTGCGCTTCAGAGAGCAACAAGTTTACAGAGAAACTCAAGGAAATGGATGTGCATTGCTATCATCAGTCTCCTTATTATCTTCACAGTAATCGTTGTGGTTGGTGCTTAGCTATTCACCACACCATATATTATATGAACACAGAGGATACTTCAAGGTAAAGCATACTTGGCCTGTCAATTGTTAAGAACTGCAGTGACATCGTTTGGTTGAAATTTTGGCAACACAATGTCGTTTTCATATCTTGAAAATAAGCTCCTATTGCATGGAAATCATATTTTTAGTAGATTTCAATAAAGATTGATGATTATGGTTTCAAATGTGCTGAAAAGTAACCAGAAATCAAGAAATTTGCCTCTAAGATCTTATCCAAATGACATGAAATAAGTAATTTTAAAAGCAATTTTATATTAAAATTAATTAATTTTTTAGTGTCAATTGTGGCATGAGAACGGCGCAAAACCGCTTTCTTACTAGTTCACTATAACATTAGTTTTTCTATGCCCTATGTTTTTGTCTTTTGGCGGTTGAGAATCCATACAATCCATACAATTCTACCACTACACACACACATATTATGATCACTCTATCTACTTGTATATGTTGAATGTTGCTGGTTTCAAATAGGACCTTTAGTTTTTCAATCAGTTTGGGTTTTTCCAGGGTCAGATCTAAAAATATTATATTGTATAATTCTAATTTGGTCAATTACAAATGAGTTCTCCTTGAATTTTTATAGCTTCAATTTCTATTATATATATATATATATATATATATATATATATATATATATATATATATATATCTAGATTCTTTTTGGCAGATATGTTTCTACGAACTCTCTATCAACTGTTATAAATTTTTATTTCTTATTAAATGGGACATTTAATCACAAAAATAACTTTGATCTCTCTTCTTTATTCTAAAGTACTTGCTAATAAATTTCTCTCTAAATTTATAAAGTCTTCCACGAATCTCTTCAAACTTTTGCCAAATATATAGGTTGGACACAAGATTTTTAGCTAGTTTTAACCTTTGATCCATTTTCATGTTACACATCTAGGTCCTTCGCGTAGTCCTAATGCATTATTGAGTGCGAGAATTGACAGCATTTAAATATATTTAGTGTTATCACAATCGGCTGCTATCATTTTTGAAAATTTAAATATTTGTAAACATCTATAACTCTTATATTGAAACTTAAATATATTAAGAGAAATTAAGAATGGAATTCAATATGTATCTTTTAATCAAGAAATTTAAATTAATATTTGGGTAAAATTAGTATACAAAACTTGAGAATCACCTAATTTTAAGTTATTTACATTGATACATTTTCTTTCGCTAGTCCTTATTGTGGAGAACGAATTCATTCTTGCACTAGAAACCGTTGTGTTACCATCACTTCTTTTTATACTATTTCCTTGTACTAATCTCAACTTGTAAAAAACTCATTCCTCTAATCTCTTTTATATTACATTTCTAACTATCTTTGTCACTCCATTTTCTTTTCCTTCTTTCACACCATTTTTTTTTTTTTTTTGTGTGCAAATGAATAGATGTAATGATATTTTGTGCAGACTAGTACAACTATGATATATTTACTCACGAGGCTTATATTAAAGTATATTTTTAGATAATTATTTCGCTATAATAGTATTAGTGTAGGGTATTAGATATCGAACCACCGATACATATTTATTTGGAAAAAAAAATGATAACTCCTATAATTAACATTATTTTTAAGAAATGGGAAACATTTCACAAATTACAAAAATCAAGTTACTCCAAAATAAAAAAATATATTTTTAGAATATTAATTATTGAAACCCATTTTGTAGGTTCCCTAGATTGGAAAATTTATACGAGAATTAATCAGTGGATATATGAAAATAGTTACAAATAGCAAATTAGATATTTTCTCTTCGAAAAAAAATGGTTGACAACTTCGGCAATTAAAATCTATGCAAATTCTGTCCCTATTTGACAATAATTTTTATAAAACTGTTTTTTCTCAAATTCATTTTCAACAACACATTATAACAATTATTCATTTTGTTCGTAAACTCAATAGTTTTCATATTTTTTAACCACATTTTCTAAAAAAAAAAAATTATTATTCTAAAACCCATTTATCCAACAAAATAATAATAATAATAATAATAAAATTAGCTCTTTATAATGCAACCTTTTATTGTGGTCATGTGACTCCTACCATGTGATCGTATGTCACATTAGTGATCTTGGATGGATTATTTGACAAAAATAATTGTGATTCTGATTAGTTTTATATCATATAATTGCAACAATTTCATAATGCACGAGTTCATGTAAGATGTGACAAATCATTGTAATTCTGGTTACTTCTATCTTGTGAAGTTGTGACAACTTCATGTGGCAGTTGTTTATGTAGATTAAATGGTGCTAGCTATTGTGATGAAGTGGGAATCCATTTATGGCACCCACAAGGGATAGAGTTTTTAGCTGAATTATTATGTGGTTTACAAAAAAGGAAAGAACGAGACTGGACCGAAGAAAGAGTTTCCTATCCCTGTAAGGCGTCTTCCCTTTGTTCATTCTTGAGTGAGTATAGTTTCCCAACCTACACTTAAACTACTAACAAGGAGAAAAGACTGAGTAGTACAACTCATAGCATGGGGGTGATGATAAAAAATATCCTCCTTATTCACCAAACCAAACATTTCTAAGATGTGTACTCAATTCGGGCTTCTCTAGAGAAGAGCCCTCTCTTCTACAACACGTTCCTATCAATGTCAATTAGAGTATGTTGAAAGAGATATATGCACGCATCCCAACTAATTACAACAAAGGTAGAGGTCATGCTGGATTATATCTCCTCTTTTCCTGTTAGCATTTATCCTTAAATAAGATACTGGTTCTTCTAGTGGTCTCTCTCCTACCCAAAGCCCTTCCTTCTAACTTTGGCGCATGAAGAGCTTTTGGCAGTAAGTCAAAAGTGTTAACGATATTCGCTATCTGAGACCATTTCCAATCTACGATGCGTCCTTTGACAATGCCTAGGTCGTGTGTAGAAAAATCCTTGTTCATCTTCTTTGAACCCTCTACTTGTTGGGACTGAAGGGAATATTTGAAATTTGAATTTCTTTACCGCTAGAAATTGCTCATTAAGTCCTTCTCTATTCAGTGGCCTTTCTCGCTTCCGTTGTATAGATTTTGTTTAAAAGTTTTAGAAGCATACTTTCTTCCTTTCTTCTATATTTGGAGACAGTTGTAGCACTTGTATCACATGATCTCTATTTTATTTTTTTTTATTTTGCTGCTCGTACATAAAAAATGATACATAAGCTGTTATCCAAATTGATGTGAAAGGAAAATATTGAATGAAAAACTTGACTATGTTTTAAATTGACAAATGGTAAAGTATCATGCGGACACTATGTAATCCGTTATGTAAATCTTGATGTACATATAGCAAAATCTTTTTTTAATGTATTTTGCAAGTTCATTGAACGGAAACATAGCCATTTTTAATTTTATTTTCTCGCTCCTTGCCATTGGAGCGGCATACCAAAAAAAGAAATTGGAATAGAATCGACATGGTATAACTTATCGTAGGGTCCGATAAGGAATAAAATTATACCGCTATGCTTTGTGTGAATCTTTAAGTATTTATAAAAATTCATGCATTTTTGTGTATTCCCATACGTCATAGAAATATAGTCGAATCGTATATGAGAATATGTTCAATATTACTCGAGAGAAATTGTTGAATAACATGGGACATTGATTTGTCAAAATTTAACCGTGTTGTTAAAGTGTAAAACTAATCTTAAAAGGGCTTATTGCATGGGGATTCGCAATCTTAGTATATTCGTCATTCATTATAACACTTCAACTTGCATTCAACACAATTTACATTTAGTTTAGTTGATTCATTATGTTTACGTAAGTTAGTTTAGTTGTAATTTTCATTACAACAAACACTCCTATTTTAATTGTTTCGGTTAAAGTCACAGTAATAGAAATTGAATAAATCATTTTTCGTTGGACGATATTCGGACTCAGAATTCACTTTATTACTTGTGAACGAATCGTACACTTGCGATGAGTTTAAATCAAAATATATTTTCGCATAACATTATGTCAAGGCAAAATTAGATTTAATACGATTCCAAATGGAAAATTTTCAATTATTTCTATTTTAATAATTTATCTTGTTCTTCAAGTATATCGAATCTGTACTTTAGAACGAACAATGAACAACTAACACTTTGACTTTACTTTAAGTCATTAGATTCTATGGTAGGTTTATTACATAATAACATTATGGCTTATATGAATGGTATCACTCCTATGCTGCAGAGTATTAACTACGAATTTGGTGGCCCTTCGACTATATAAATTGAAAGATACTGATATTTTATTCTCAGTACAAATTGTGACAATTCATGCTCTCCAATGTCCATATCGAGATAAAAAAAATTTATTTTAATTCCTATAATTTGGGAACAGTGTCAAGAATGAAAAGAGAACTATATAAAAAAATTCTAAAATTTTTTAACTAACTAAATTCCTAAATATCTGATTAAAAAATACTAATCATCTATTTTTTTTATTTTTTTTATCGTGATAAGCAAAAGAAAAAAAGAGAACATATCGTCTACATTTACTCTAATTTTGGAAATAGTATAAAAAATATAATAAAATTATAAGCAAAATTTTTGAAATTTTTGAATTATTAGATCCCTAAATATCTAATCTAAGAATTTTGTATTAACCACTTAACTTTGTTAAAATTAAAAGTTAAATATTCGACTCTAGATTTTCTGAAAAATGAAGTTGAATGAAAAATTTCTTTACCTGATAGCTTATTATTTGAGTGAATAATTTTTGATAATTTTGTTGTCTAGAAAAACAAGCTTGGGCTTCGAATATGAGGCCCAACTATAACCTATGCACGTTCAAGTCTTATTCTTAGAGCAACGGGAAAAAGCAACTGAAGTTTTCTTCATCGGAATAACGCTAAAATATCGGGGGAGAGGGAAAAAGGGATATATTCATCACCCGTTTGGCACCAATTTATCTTCTGCAGCAGTGATCTCTACTCAATTTCTTCATCAACAAAGCTGGAAGGTAGTATCGGATTATTATTAGTGTACAAACGGGCTTTATATGTTGAAATCGCTCTCGATCTGATTGTTGTGAATGATTTAATTTCAACTCAAATCCTTATAATTTATTTATTTGTTCAGAATTTTTGTCTCTTGATGCTATCTTCCTCTAGTAACAGTGATTTTTTCCACAACTTTCTATTGAATTTTTGATGCTGTTGTTTATGGTTTTCTCCTCGCCTTAAAAACTGGCCGCCCCTCAAGTGTAATAGGTGAAATACCCAAGACCAAAATCCTGTGCGGGAAGTTGCCCCAATAGACCCCAGGTCAAGGTGGCTCCGCCCCTGGTTTTACCTGATGGGAAATTATTGCAGCACTACAAAATATTGGATTTTTAGTAAAGCAATTAGTATCTGGTACTTAGGTGTTTGGAGCATTTATTTGTTAACAATAACTTAAGCTGTTAGAGAAGGGGTCACATTTATTTATTTAAATTTAGTCTTTGACAGCCTCTCGTCTGCAGGTTGGATTCAATTTTTCCGCCTGATACGTGCACAATTTTCATGAACGTGTCATGTCAGGACTTGAAACCAGATGGGCCTGATTTATCTTAAATTTGGTCATTGACATCGTTGGGTGTTGATCCAAATATCCCCTCTAAGAGGTAGCTTCTTAGAGGTATTTGACAAATCTTTGGAGTTTCCTTGCACAAGTTGTTTAGTTTTTGTTCCAAATGGAAACTTTTTAATCATTGAAATAATCCTCTTGATAATTTTCTGAATTTACTGCTTGGGTTGTGTTCATGAGAAATAAAACTGTGTTGATCTGTGATTGGTGATTTATTAAAATGATTGTTATCTCAGTGAGTGGGAGACGGAGGAGGTGTAAATTTTGGTTAGTCATAACTGTTGGTTCCCTGTAAATATTTTTACTAATTTTTGTTTTGCATGAAAACAGGTGTATGGTAAATAGTGATCATGCTTGTTCTTGAACTTGTTAGGATGTATTATTTGAGTGCTAAAATTGTGATGATATGTTAACATGACCTGTGGCTGTAAAATTATTGTTAATTGAATTGGTGAAAGTCTCGTATTTGTAATAGTCATGACTATAATGACCTTGATCTGTGTGTCTTTTTATTTATTTTTTTTAATTTGGATAAAATTTTCATTTTAGTTGAACCACAGGTATGGATGGGGTTCCTGTTTTTGTAAAGTATAATGGACGATGGGATGAAAATAATATATATGTTGACCATGAGATGACTGGGGTATTGGTTCCTCTTGGAACATCATATGTTGGATTGTTGGAGATATTGTATGATGCATTGGGTTTGGGGCCTTTATCACAAACAATACGAATGAAGTATATAGCTGAAGTTGGAAGCTCACCCATCGAAATATCACATGATCGTGATGTTTTCTTTTACTTGAATTTGAAAGAGAGAGATGCTCAACTCAATAGCTTTCCCATTTGTCTTGAGATTAAGAATGGGCCGATGGAGGAGATTTTGCCACTAGCTACAGAGGACAATAATCACTTATCACATGCAAAAATTCAAAGTCCACCTCATGAGATCCACCCTGATCCACAATTAAATGATCAAGCGCCTTGCAATATGTCACTCGAGATTACAGTTGATGATGTTCCTTATGATATGAAGGCTGAAGGTAATAACGCCTTACAACATCTAGCTGAGCTTATTGCTACTGCCGATCTGCAAAATGAAGCAAACTATAGGAGACAGATCACAGATAATAATGTTGAGCTATCTGTCATAAATGGTCTTTCAAATGCTCAAATATCTGTTGAAGAAAGATCCGCTGAAGGTCAAATTGAAACCTTAGATTCCGATGAAGACCTTAGAATGATTGATGAATCTGAAAATGTTAGAGATATGATCACCGAGGTCTTGCCTACTGTGTTGCGAGTAAAAAATATTTACCCGAGCAAAGAAGTATTAAAGAAACAACTTGGCATGCTTGCCATTAGGAATCATTTTCAGTTTAAGGTAAAAAGATCCACAAGGAGAGTATTGCACGTGGTTTGTGTCGATCCCAAATGTAAGTGGACAGTACGTGCGACCAAGCTTGAACGAAATGATAGATTTGTGGTTAAAAGGTATGATGCAAGCCACACTTGCTCACCGGAAACTGTTCAAGGTGATCATCGTCAAGCTAGTAGCTGCGTCGTAGGGGAATGCGTGAAGAGAAAATACCAATTACGTTCATGTTCTAGCATTAAACCTCATGACATCATTAATGAAATGCGTCAAACTTATGGAGTGACAATAACCTACGAAAGGGCTTGGCGAGCTAGAGAATGTGCATTAGAGAGTTTGCGGGGTTCATACGAGGAAGCTTACTACTCATTGGCAAAGTACACATACATGTTAAACAAAATGAATCCTGGATCAGTTGTTGCCTTGGAGACAGAAGAAAACAATAAATTCAAGTGTGTTTAAAAATATTACATTTGTTCATATTGGTAATGATATTTGGTCAATGTTAAAAATGATTTGTGTACTTTTATGATAATCGTTACAGGTACTTCTTTATGTGCTTGGCCGCCTCCATTCAAGGTTGGCAACATTGTAGACCTGTAATTCTTGTAGATGGCAATTTCTTGAAGCTTAAATACGGTGGGACATTGTTCACTGCTTGTGCTAAGGATGGTAATGAACAAATTTTTCCCTTAGCTTTTGGGATTGGAGATCCAGAGGATGCTGCTGCATGGGAGTGGTTCTTTGTCAAGTTGAAGGAAGCAATTGCTGATCGTGAAGAGTTGGTTATAATTTCAAACTTCGACAAAAGCATTTGTAAAGCTATTGAGAAAGTATATCCAAATGCAGATCATGGTATATGCACACATCATTTGTTAAACAATCTGAAGGTAAATTTTAGAAAGGCAGGGAAAGAAATGCCTACATATTTTTACAATGCTTCCCGAACATACCTTATGGAGGAATTTGAATTTTATATGAACAACCTCGATATAGTGAACCCGAGCATCCGTGCATACCTTCAAGGACAAGCAGGGTATGAAAAATGGTCACGAGCTTTTTTTAGTGGCCTTCGGTATTCAATAATGACAACTGATATAGCCAGATCAATAAATGTAACCGATGTTCAGGCAAAGGATATGCCAATCACCCGTTTGATCGAGTGGTTGATGTCAATGGTGCAAAGATGGTTTTCTGAACGTCGCAGTGCAGCTGAATCTACATCCACAATGCTTGCAACTGTAGCAGAAGATCGACTAAGGGAACAGAATGTATTGTCATTATCAATGACGGTAAGAAATATTATCGTTTTAACTCTTGTTTTAGATAATAATGGTTGTGAATATCATATTTGGCTAAGCTTAAAATAAGTTATTTATTCAAAACCTAACTTATTTTCTTTTAACTTCTGAAGCTTAGCCAAACATGCTCCTATACTTATATGCTAATGATGCATACAAATTCTATTTGATAGGTTCACCCTGCGAACAGTCATGAGTTTCATGTTTTGGACCCAGAAGCGCGGTCATTTGTTGTAAACTTGGAGTCAAAGACTTGTGTCTGTAGGGAGTTTCAAGTCGATCAATTACCATGCTCCCATGCTTTGGCTGCGATAAATATGTGCAAATTGAGTGCATACGACTATTGCTCTGGTTATTATAAAAAGGAGGCATTGTCTGCATCATATGCAGCTACCGTTCATCCTTTAGGGAATGAATCCTGTTGGGTTGTTCCAGACGAGATCAAAGATAGAATAATTTTACCCCCAAAATGGAGACGACGGTCTGGTAGACCAAGGAAACGAAGGAATCCCAAGAAAACTACTAAGGGCAGATGCTCGAGATGCAAGGAGTACGGGCATAATAGAAAGACTTGTCAAAATACAATCTCCCGGGACTCGAACAGTTCAAGTGATTCTTCTATTAGTGAAAGTGCCACTAATGATGTTACTTGAGTGTTAGCAAGTATGATTTTAATGTGTTAGACTTGTATTGTTTTTTAATGTAATAGGATTATGCAGTTGTAAATGTAATAGGATTATGCAGTTGTAACATGATTGTGAGTTTGTAGTTTAGATGTCTATTTGTTAAGAATTAAGCCAAATGACCACATTTGTTGACACAAATGTTGACACACCTCTCACAGTCGAGGTGTGGGTCCCGCGCCAATAAAATAATGCCGACCTCCTCATGTGAGTGTGTTGTGTCAACCGATGTGTCAACAAATGTGGCTATGTAGCATGAGCCATTTGTTAAAGCATTTTAGCATGGTTGGTATATTGGTAAGAGTAATCTACGTATTTCAGAATCGTTAACTGATTTTAACAGGTAAACGACTGTTATGTACTGATGAAGAAATTTATTAGAAGCCTTGTTTGTTTAGAATAAAAATTAGATTTTTAATAAATTTTGATAGAAGTTTGATGGAATATATGTGGTTAAAAAGTTAATAAAAATTGTAAACTTCATAAAATGTGTAGAAATGGGGACGAAGTAAAATTAATGATTATAAAAATAAAAGGGAAAAAATTGTGCATATAAAATAAATGTAAAAAAATGTCTAATATCTACTTTCAATTGTGCATAAAATAAATGTAAAAAAATGTCTAATATCTACTTTCAAGTCTTCTTTTTGATGTAAATAAAAATTATCTTCACGGCCCGATTTATTCCACATTATATTTTCAAGCAACACAATACATATGTTGGATCGCTCCTCAAATATTTTGCAGTGTAAATAAATAGTTTGGCACCATTTTTCATCTTGTCATTGATGTTTCTTCTAATCAAGTATCCAAAATATAATTTTCGTCACAATAATGTTAATAGTTACAAATTTCAATAAACTAAAATCGCTATCAATCACAGGAGTTACACTAGGACTATTTGTGTACATTAATTATGAAATTAAACCTCTCGTAAAATATTAATTTAGCAAATTTTCTTAAATTACATATACTAATACTCCTTCCATCTAACATTATTTATCATCCTCTATGTTCTAACCAAGTTTGAGGAAAGATTCCAATTTGCTTGACGTCTCACCACTATAATTTCAAACCTCATCTCTACTCCACATATTCATCGAATTTTCCAAAATAGGATTCACTTTATGGATATCATTTTTTTCAACATCTGTAAACTTTGAAAAGACAAATTTATTTATTTATTTATTATTATTATTATTATTATTTTTTACGTATTTAAAAACAATACATACTAAGATATACTACAACCACAGATTAAATTTGCCTCTAAGAACATGAAGCATTCAAAAGGCATAAATTATGCACAAAATAACAATTTTTCGCAATAATCACACAATTCCAAATAGTACTACATATGGTTAACAAAGATATAGAAAAATATAAAAATAATATGGAACATGAAATACCCCGATAGAGATACAAACAATGATGAATCATATTGGTATATGTAATTAACAATTAGTGAGACTTGCACCCGTGAAAAGATCTCAATGGGATAGCGTAGTAGGAACTTATAATTTTGAAGGAATTCGTGTAGTCCACAAAAGTATGACATTCATAGATTTCTTGTGGAATTAAACAACTTGTAAACTATATTTGAAACAAATTAGGTAGAGAAAAAAAAAATAATGGAAGATTTTTCAAAAATAATAACAAAATTTTTTAATTCATCTGTAATAATTTTTTAGGTTACATTAGGCATTCAATTTCAGAATTTAAAGTAACCAATTTGTTAAGGAATTTCTGAAATTTCAAAATGTAGACTGTGAAACATGAACTGAACCGGTATATCACGTTACTTTGAAGGATCGAGTGCATCATAACCATTGATAAAATATTTCTTTTGCAAAAATAATAGCATAATATGCAAATAAATCGTTGTAACTATAAGAAAATAAAGGACACGAGAATGGAGAGTATATTTTCTACTTTCTCAATGTTTTCCTTTTAGACGATTTACTTCAAGTACTTACCAGATTATAAAATTCTTTTGTGTCTCTATCATCAAAATTCTTGAAGGTTAACAGTTCCAAATTAAATATCCAAATTTGCCGGTACACTAAGCAATATCATCGTGCATACAAATCAGACAACACGACTTTAGATTGTTGGGAAAAATGTGTAATTTGTGTATAGACTGATTATCAATTCACATAATCGAATAAATAAATATACTTCAACAATAACATAGAAGAAAGATGAGGGTTGGAAAAGCAAGCTTTAGGAGTCAAATTAAAGATGTTGTCCTAAAGTCTTGTTGCATCTCCTTCGTGTGGGTATTTTTGGCAATACACGGCTCCAAAATAAAATTCATGTAGCTTTGAGCCGATTCTCCTTTTATGGATAGGACTATAGAAAAATAAAGAACAGGCCTCTCATCGAATCATCAAAACTATTGAAATATAATATAAAACATAGATGGACTATTTTTGTATTCAAATATCTCAAATTGTGTTTTCATGTTGTGTTCAAATTATAGAATCTCCACCCTTTTTATAGGGTACATATTAAACCCCCAACTAATGAGAATAAATTCAATTAAAGTGTAAGTTAAAATATATAATTATGACTTTTAATTTTTTATTAAATTCGAATATTAAAATAAAGGAAAACTGAAAATTAAAATCAATTTTAAGTTTCGAACTTAAGTTACAACATATTCCTCTTCCGTGGCACGTATTGCTTGCCCCACTCTCTATTCCTATATCAAGGTACTTTAGAGTAGTATTAGTTAAGGTGCCATAATAATAAAAGTTCAAGCTTTGGAACATGATGCACAGCATTGCAATTGAACTGCCTAAACTGCTAGAGAGAAGCCACGAATATTAATTTAAATTGCACTCCTTCGCTTTGCAAACCGGATTTATTTTTCCATCGAAGGTCTCAGATGTGCACAATTAAAAAAAAAAAAAAGAATAGAAAGAGTGATGGCGAAACTACAGCTTGGATCTTTAAGCCTGATTTTGGCACCAAAATAACCATATCAAATGAAACTTTTAAGATGTCAAGGAAGGTTCATTTCTATTCATAAATGTCATCTTCAACACGATTCAATATTTGTTTAGAACTGTTGAGCTCGATACTTGGACCCCCACGTGGCCAACGGGTAGCTACTCATGTAATCCTCCCTGTGCATAACAACGCACGGTTAGAAGCACACAGTCGGGACCAGCGATGGTGGTGGTGGTCGCATACACTCCGACGGTCAAGTCAGCGTTGGGTGGTCGGAACAGTGTTCTAGTGATGCAAGAGAGTGGGGAGGAGAATATATGTTTCTTAGTATGGAGAGCTAAGTTATAAGAGTTTTCATTACCTTTGTCTCTTGCCAAATCTTGGATATTTATAGGTGTAGAGCACCATTGAATGTGGGATATATCTGACGGTGTGAAACGTCTGCTCATAAGCATCACTCAGCCACCTCTAGCGTGGATGGGCAATTAGTTCTTCTGAGTTGAGTTGACATAAAGTCGATGTGTCATGTCAACTAGATCTATGGAACGCTTCAGCGTTGAGGGACACTCCGATTGCTTCATTGGATCTATTCACCTTGCAGCACGTCATGTTGAGGTCGTCAGAAATTGGTATCGCTCCGGAACCACTTCGAGTAGACTTGTGGAGCTTTGGAGAGTGATGTGACTTTGTGTCGAAGTGGTTTTAGTGCCGAAGTGGAAGTGGATTGGTTAGGTGTGTAACAGTGGTCCTCCCAAGTTCAGACATGAATATTCATATCATAGGTGGACTTGTTTTCTCGACTGTTTATGTCGGCCTTGAAGTAAGTACTGTGGATTTTGATGAGGTGCTGGCGTAAAAGGGTGAAGTGAGCAGATGTGCCGAACACCTGTCAGTTGAGGAGAGTGATAACCGAGGTGATGTGGGTGGGGCGTCCTCTGGGTCGATCATTTATTGTTTAGTGACGAGCTTTCAATGTTCCGCTGAGTCGTATGAGATGATTCCACTGGGGGAATAGCACATTCACCACCGATGTTCCGACCTAAATGGGACGACGCGTTGGGAAAGGCACTTCGTAAAGCTTGAGGGAACGTGTGACAGAGTCGGTGACCCATAGGGGACCCCGCGTCAGTGGCACCGAAGCTTATAAAGCTGGGTGAAGAGCTCATCTTCCAACCGTGTGCTGACCCGCATTGGACGAAGTGTTGGGAGATGGCTAACGCCTTTCAAAGTTGAGGAGTCATGCGATCGAGGAGGTGACCCACAGGGGACTCCGCGTCAGTGGCGCCGAAGCTTTGTAAAGCTAGGTGAAGAGCTCATCTGCCACCAGTGCGCTGATCTACAAGGGACAACGCGTTGGGAGATGGCTAACGCCGTTCAAAGCTGAGGAGTCGTGCGACCAAGGCGGTGACCCGCAGGAGACTCCACGTCAATGGCGCCGAAGCTTTTAAAGCTGGGGAGTGCATTCATCCGAGGTGAATTGGGACAGATTATCTCTGATCTGAAGTGCCTTATTATGACGTTAATCGATGTGACAACTGTCACGTATTTTCAAGGTGACAATTGGATGTGATGCCCATCCCTAGAAAAAAGGCTACTGCAGCCACTTATTGCTGATGACTATTGCTTGTTCGAGACGACGAGTTTTATGCGTGCATGAGGGGCACCGTAAGATCTTGGACGTTGATCAAATCTGGGATTTTATTTCAACGATCCAGATTTTTAACAAGATGAACGATCTAGATGGACATCGTTTGAATTCAACGGTGGGGATCATCTGGGGTCTCCTATAAAAAAGGGACTTAGTGCCATTCGAACGTTTTCACCTTTGTAAACTCAGAATCCGTATTGCTCTCAGATTTGTTGGCAATTTTTGACGTGTTTCGAGCATTTTCTGGTGATATTCTCAGTTTTCGACGAGTACGGAGGGCCATCTGTTATTTTTCGACTGTAGAAAACCCCCAACCCATTCATTTCAGTAAGTATTTTTCTAGTTCTTCGCGTTATTTTTGAATTCTAAGAATGGCTTCTAATAGTAACGCTTCGGGGAGGGAACTGGGCGTAGTTCAGGTGGATGAGCCTATATTGACGACGTCTAGTAAGGTGGCTAAGGCCATAATAGTGGGGAGAACATCTGGCGGAGGCCTGATAGCCCAGTAGACATGTTAGAACATTGGGGGGCTTCTGACTACCCATCGAAGTTACGAGAGGTCGACCTGGGTAGATTTAGAGTAGAGTATAGGATTCCTAATAGCGTAGACCTAATATTGTCGGAGCCTGATGAGCGAGCCTATTACCCTAGGCCGGGGTGTGTAGCTGTGAGCGAAGCGCTCTTTAGGGCTGGACTTAGGTTGCCGATCCACCATTTCTTTTGCTATGTCTTGAGGACCTATGGCCTGGCCCCGACCCAATTGAACCCCATTTCTTAGAGCCAAATGGTGGGGTCATGGATGTTATGGAAGGAGGCGTCGTTCGAGGTAGAGATGCCATTCTCAGTGTTTCAAACTTTGCATATCCCTAAGGTAGCGGCGGGGGGTGATAAGACCAGGGGGTGGTACTATCTGATTTCATGGGGTTCCCACACTCTATTTGTACTCGATCTACCGAGCTCCATCAAGGAATGGAAGAGCTCATGGTGCTACGCCTCAGGGAGATGGGATAAAATGGAGGGAGCCCCCCTGGCGCCTCTTACAGTCCTCACAAAGTATTCTACACTTAGTGAGTATTGAGCTTTGTGACTTTTTATGTTTCTCATCAGCTCGAAAATTAACTATTTGTTATTCTTACAGATATTCTTCCTTGGTGCAAGCTTTCTGCCGAGGAGTTCGACATAATCTGTATCGTTTATCAGCTTTCGCTGAAGAGGAGGTCTTACAACGAGCTCATCAGGAAGAACATTTACTTTGTTACGCACAAACTGATGGCCTCCCAAGGTAACAATCTGAAGTGCATCTATTGTAATTTGTTTCTGAACTCATTGTACTTGTGCTAATCCATTTTATTTTGCTGTAGACAATTTTAAAAAGAAGAGGCCAGTGAGGCTCGACTTCAAAACTATCCAGCGGATGATGGTCGAGGCAAGGGCTCTAAAGACCTTCTTCCCTGCTTATAAGAAGCAAACGGAGGACCTAGTGGCTACGAGCAAGCAGCTCCAGCCTGGGGCAGAGGAGGAGGAGGAAGAGGATCCAGAGGCAGCTCTCCAAAGAAAGGGAAAGAGGTCTGCCAGTTTGTCGAAGGGGCCCACAGTGGCGAGGGCTGCCCCGATCCTTCGTCAAATAACAATCTCCACCGGGGTGGCTATAAAAGAGAGGACAGCGGACCCTGCTGCCACTGCTGCTGCCCTGATCGCCCCCCGGTTGCTACCATCCCAGTCACACAAGTGCCGGGGTAGCAGAGGAGGAAGAGGGCTAGCCCGGAGAAGGAGGTGGACTTTCTGGGCACCAATAAAGAGGAGTCGGTGAGGGAGGTGTTAAAGGTCTTGCCTCCGGAGACAGCAGCCATTGCCCTGGTCTATAACAAGTATTGGATTGAGGAGTGGAAAGACCACACAGCCTCCTGCACTGTCGAAGACCTGGTGGCTGCCAACAGTGCTTGCATCGCTCGGACTCTGAGCACGAGCGTTCAACTTCAGAGCTTGGTCAAGGACCTCGACGCCAGGAAGGAAGATCTAGCTAAGCACCTGGAGGAAGCACTGTACTATGGGGATGCGGTGCGAGCCGCCCAAGCAAAGGCCTCAGAGGCGAGGCAAGAAGCAGAGGTCCAGCTGGCGAGGTCCAATGCAGAGATAGAGAGGCTGAAGAAGGAGCTATATGAAGTGGAGTGCCAGTAACTGCTATGACAAGGAGGGTTGATCATGCTCATGAGCGCCACCGGCTCGCCACTGAGGCTCTGGAGGCCTCCAACAAAGAGAAGGTTGAGTTGAGGCAACGGGCGAAGGTCCAGGCCAAGGAGATTGAATCTCTGAAGGTCGAGGTGAAGGCGGTAGGGGAGTCAACAGTGCAGAACTTTATCGACCACTTTGAAGAGCATCAGCTGTACGATGACTTTGCCAACTTCTGGGCCTCATGGAATTCCCAGGCAATGTTGGATCACCTATGGAAGGTCCACCCTACTCTGGACTTAACTTCTTTGGAAGTGGAGTTCGGTGGGCCTATCGGAGGTCGATCTGACAGGGTCGCCAAGGAAGATACTGAAGCCCCTCCAGAGGCCGGGACCGAAGTCCCCTGAGTAGAATAGGGATACATTGTAATGGCTTTAGCCCTCATTTTGTAACTTGTTTTGATATTAATGAAATCAAAGTTTTCCCAAGTGTTGTTGCTTCTTCTTACTTTACTTTCACGTTGAACTGTTTCTATCTTGATGAGTAATGGACAAATAAACATTAAGCATCACTTACCCAGAGTAACCAATTGATGACAAAGATTGACTTAAAATCCACTGAAGAACTGAGGCACCAATTGATTAACCCACATAACAGAATGGATGATTGAGTCGTTACATTATATTTTACTAAGGCAATTCTAGCACTTAGCAAGATAGGAATGTTACAATAGACTGAATAAAATTGAGATCGGATCAGAACATATACTTATCACTGATAGTATTTTCTCAAGTGTTCAATATTTCACTGATGAGGCAGTGTCTTCCCTGCCATGTCTTCTATTTCATACGTGTCGAATTGAGACTCTTTGCGGATGCGATAAGGACCTTCCCATTTCGGTCCAAACACTCCGGACCCATTCGGCTTTGATGATTGGAAGACCCTCTAAGGACGAGGTCCCCCTAGACGGAGAGTTCGGTTTCTGACCTTAGAGTTGTAACAATAGGTCATCTTTCTTTGATACTTTACCAATTTTATTTGAGAAAAATCCCTCCTTTCTTCACGGAGGTGAAGTTCGTGCACTTGAGCTTTGTCATTGTTGATCTCATTGAAATGTATCCGATGATGGGAGGGGCATCCACCTCGACAGGACTCATGACTTCAGATCCATAGGTCATGGAGAAAGGTGTCTCACTTGTTGCAGTTCGGATGGTTGTTCAAATGGCCCAGAGGACATGGGGAAGTTATCGACCCATGTCCCTTTTGAGGCGTTAAGCTTTATTTTCAGGGTATGCTTGATAGTTTTGTTCACTGTCTCAACTTGCCCATTTGCTTGAGGGTGATGAGGTGTTAAGAAGTCCTTCCTTATGCTGAGTTCGTCACACAAGTCTCATATCTTTTTGTTGTCGAACTGCCTGCCGTTATCAGACACTAGAGAATGGGAAATGCCGAACCTGTAAATGATATTTTTCCAGACGAACTTTGTGGTGTTTGCTTCAGTGATCTTTGCTAGAGGTTCAGCTTCCACCCACTTGGTGAAGTAGTCAATGGCAATAATGGCAAAAGTAGTGCTTCCTCTTCCTTTTGGCAGCGGACCAATGAAGTCTATGCCCTACTTGGACGGGCTGGTGACCACGAAGAGACTTTGAGAAGGCTGCATTTGAATGTTTGAAAAACGTTAGCACTTGTCACATTTTTGAACAAACTGGCAAGAGTCCCTTTTCAGGGTCGGCCAGAAGTAGCCTTGTCGAAGAACTTTGTGTGCCAGAGTTGTTCCTCCAGAGTGGTTACCACAGACTCCCTCATGGATCTCCCTAAGAATATACATGGCTTCTTCCTCTCCCACGCATCGGAGAAGTGGTGAGGCGAAGCCCCTTTTGTAGAGCATATCGTCCTAGAGAACAAAGTGAGCAGCCCTCATTCTCAATTTCTTTGCCTCGCTTTTCGAGGTTGGCAGTGATTGAACTTTGAGGTAGGCTTCGATGGGTTGCATCCAAAGTTGGGTGTCTTCAATCCATAGTACGTCTTCGCCTCCAGAGATGGAAGGCTTCGGCAGGCGCTCAATTGGGATAATTTTTAGCAACTCCGAATCCCTGCTGCTAGCCAACTTGGACAGGGCGTCGGTGTATGTATTTTTGAGGCATGGGACTTGAACTAGTTCGAATCTCTCGAAGTGAGGGACCAGGTTCATAACAAAATTTAGATATGCAGTCATGCCACTGTCTTTGACTGTAAATTTTTCGTTGACCTGACTTCCCACAAGCTGCGAGTCACTACTTGCTAGGAGCCTTGTCACTTGCATTTCTTTCGCTAGTCTAAGGCCCGCTAGGAGGGCCTCATATTCTACAGCATTGTTTGAGGCTTTGAAACCGAATCTGACTGTGCAGTTTAGCTTATGGCCCTCTGGACTTTCCAAAATAACTCCTGCTCTAGAACCAGTCTCTCCTGACGATCTATCCACAAATAGGCTCCATGGTGGGGGCTCGACTGGTTCTATTGTCGCTTCCATTTCTGGGGCTTTGGCAAACTCTGCCACAAAATCTGCGAGGGTTTGGCCCCTTATGGCGCTCTGAGGTCAAAAAAGAAGGTCGAACTCGTTGAGCTCGATTGCCCATTTTAGCAAACGGCCTGAAGTGTCTGTTCTTTCCAATACTAGTTTCAAGGGAAAGTTGGTTAGAACTTCAATTGAATGGGCCTAGAAGTATGGCCTTAGTTTCCTCGATGCTGTAACTAGGGAAAGTACAAGTTTCTCCATATCTGGGTTGCTCGCTTCTGTTGGTAGCAGTGTCTTGCTAATATAATACACCGATAGTTGATGCATGTTTTCCTCCTTGACAATGACTGCACTGATAGCCTCGTTTGAGACTACTAAGTACAGCAGCAGTGGCTCTCGTAGTTGAGGCTTGGATAGTAAGGGTACCTCTCCCAAGTGTTTTTTCAGCCCCTGGAAGGCTTCCTCGCATTTGCTTATCCATTGAAATTTCTTTCCTTGTTTTAAGACTTTGAAGAAGGGTAGGCTTTTGTCAGTGGCCCTGGAAATGAAGCAACTGAGCGCAGCTATTCGGCCATTGAGGCTTTGTACTTCCTTTGGCTTCTAAGGTGACCTCATTTCCAGTAGGGCCCTTATCTTTTTCAAATTTGCTTTGATTCCTCTTTGGTTCACAATATATCCTAGAAACTGATCCGAAGCTACCCCAAAGGTGCACTTAAGAGGGTTCAATTTCATTTTATACTTTCTAAGAATCTGAAAGGTCCGGTCGAGGTGACTTACGTGTTCTTTCGCTTGGAAGCTTTTAACTAGCATGTCGTTCACGTAGACTTCCATAGTTTTGCCAATGAGTTCAGCAAATATCATGTTGACCAGCCTCTGATATGTGGCTCCGGCATTTTTCAATCCAAAGGGCATCACCTTATAGTAGTACAATCCTCTATCAGTGATGAACGATATGGATTCCTCATCAGGTCGGAACATGGGTATTTGGTTGTACCTTAAGTATACTTCCATGAAGCTCAAGAGCTCATGCCCAGCAGTGGAGTCCATCAGTTGGTCTATGCTTGGGAGAGGGAAGCTGTCCTTAGGACATGCCTTGTTCAGATTTGTGAAGTCTACACATACCTTCCATTTCTCGATGGGTTTCTTTACGAGGACCGGGTTGGATATCCACTTTGGGTAGATAGATTCCCTGATTAAGGCGCTGCAGCTGAGTTTATCGATTTCTTTTTTGAGCACCTCACATCGTTCTGAGTTGAGGGCTCATCTTTTCTATCGATGTGGGACGCAAGAGGAGTTGATGTTAAGGTGGTAGCAACTGATCCTTGGATCTATTCTACCATATCTTCGTGCTTCCAGGCGAAGACATCCAGGTTTTTTTCAGGAAGTTCATCATTTCTTCTTTCATCCTGGGGGGTAGTGCTTTCCCTACCCGCAAGATCTGAATGGGGTCTTCAAGATTGATAGGAAAAGTTTCCAGCTCTTCCATCGGAGTCGCATTCGATTCAGACTCGATAATTTGGGGGTCCAACTCATCAAGAGGGTGCCCTTCTTCAGTGGCCTCCATTATGTCAACGTCTTCCTCCTGTTCAGAGGTGTGCTCTTATTTAGGGAAGTCGAGCATTTCAATGTCCATGTCGACTTCGTTGTCGACCTCTGTTATAATGACCTTAACAGTACAGGGCTCGAATTTTCATAGAGAATTGAGGTAACATGCCCTTGAGCCCATTTGGTCGCCTCGTACTGTAACAATCCCATGCTCAGTTGGAAACCTCATACACAAGTAATGGATGGAGGTGACCACCCAAAGATTTTTCAATGCGGGTCGGCCCAATACTCCTTGGTAAGCTTACCTATGGTCCACCACTAGGAATTCCATGAAGTGGTGGACCACTAGGGGGCTAACCCTATTTTGACAAGCAGAGTAATTCACCCTCGTGGGACGATGCTGTCACCAGTAAATCCAAATAGCGGGTTGGTTATGGGGATCAATCCATATTCAATCTGCATTTCATCAAAGGTAGATCCGAACAATATATTCATCGATCTGCCATTGTCGACGAGCATGCGTTTGAGTCCGTTTCTAGCCACTACGGCTCTTACCACAAACGCATCACAATGGGGGTGGTAAACTCCTTGTGCATCTTCTTGAGAGAAAGTGATCGGGGTCATCTTGTTAGCCTTTTGGGTCTGGAAGTAATCATGGGTGGATCATTCGCTTTCCTTGTGTAATTCCTCTAGGCATTCTTGGTGTTGCCCCCGATGTGAGGTCTTCTAATGATTGTATCAATTTCCATGATAACTTGGCCACCAGATGGGGCCTGGTCCCTATGCTTGGATTCTCCTCTGTCTCTGGATTTTCTCCTCCGGGGTGATTGGTCTCTATATGGCCTCTCTCCCTTATTCGGGGAGGTGGGCCTGTGGGTATATTCACCTCTTCTTGAGGAGCGTGGATTACTCCGGTTCGAAGATCGAGGAGCATCCCTACATTCATTGGTGTCGTGTCCATAAAGTTGGTGAAAGGTACAGAACATTGCTCCTTCTAGAGGCCTGCTTGATCGCTTCTTCTTCTTTCGATTGTTAGTTCCTCCGAATGGTCCTGCTTCAGCAGGAGCATTTTCGTATGCAAGCACTGACACTGCATTTAGCGTGGCGGAAGCCAATGCTTGTCCGGACGTGGGAGCTATTGTGTGTCCTGCTTAGGTCCATTGCTGGGTGATGAGGTGGGCTGCTGGTCCTCGACCTACCTACCTCTGAGGCGGAGGGAGTCCCTGTGCTACACGGTTTCGATGGTCAATCATCTCTTCATTGATGATCTTGACTCTCATCATTTCTACCAGTTCGTCATAGGTGGTGGGATTTTTACTGCGTAAATCCCTCCATAATAGTTTGTTCATGTTGAGGCCACCCTTCAAGGCTGAAAGGGCCTCACTGTCAATGACTTGCTCGCAGTACATGATTTCATCGATGAATCTGGCGAGATAGCTTTTCAGCGTCTCGCCAGAAGCTTGCCTCATATTTTGTAGGCGTTGTACCGGGGCCTCTCATTCCCTTCATGAGAGGTATTGGTTCAGAAATGCCTTTTTCAAGTCCGGCCAACTTTTGATGCTCAAGGGTGGTATCCTGCTGTACCACACTTTAGCAGCTTCGGTGAGGATTAGATGGAAGGCTCTACATTTCAGTGCCGGCGAGGCTTCTCTGAAACTCATCTGCGTCATGTATTTAGTCAGGTGTTTCTGTAGGTCCCCCTTTCCTTCATACTTTGGATTTTAGGGGGCGTGAAGTTTGCAAGCATTGTGAAGCTTCGAATTTCTCTGGAGAAAGGGAGGTTGTAGTCATCGTCATCAATTTCGTAGGAGCGGCATGGCCTTTCAGAGCCTTCCCCTTCTGATGCATTTTGGGGAGGTAGGGGTGCCTCTTCTCGACTACTCCAATCCACTAGGTTTTTCCTGTCGCACCTATTTTTAGGCGGAGAAGGTACTTGTCCTTGTTCTTGCTCTTGTTGTACTGCTCTTTGCACGGAGTAGACCCTATTGTTAGGGTTCTGTCCTACTCTATCGAAGACACTGACAGACCTTTGGGGTTCATATTCTGGTGGGAAGTTCTCTCCTAGCGGTGGTTCTGCCGATTGGCTCACCTGTGCATAGGATGTGACATCAACACCCACTTCTCTTTCAAGGGGGTGTTCCCGGCGCTGGCTCTAATGACCTCGGTTATGAGGCGCAGGAATTTCTTAGGCTGGATATGGCTCTTGATGCATCTGGATGCCCTAATGACCTCGAGCCTACATGAAGAATTCACGCATCGCCACGTTCTGAGCAGCAATGTCCCTCATTCCAGCAATTATTTGGGCCATTCCTTCAGTGAGCGCTGCTGTCCTGCTGCCTGGGTGACGCCGATGATGGGGTCTCCGATGCGTGACATTGATCCTGATTACCTCTTCTTCAGAGGCATCCCTTCAAAATTTGCATCTTCATTACTATAACTCATCTTGTCCACTCATTTTTCAAGGGTGTTTAGAGATGGGATCATAGATTGACTGTTCTTTTCTCAAGAACGTACCCTTTTCAAGGTAAGTCAATGGTTTATCGATGGCTTTTTTCTGTGGAAAATGTGGCACTTTTGGACGGGAAGTTTCCCATAGACAGCGTCAATCTGTTGACCTCGATATCTGGACCCTCCACGTGGCCAATGGATAGCTACTCCACGTAATCCTTCCTGCACACAATAACACACAGTCAGAAGCACACGGTTGGGACCAGCAGTGGTTGTGACGGCTGCGTACACTCCGACGATCAAGTCAGCATTGGGTGGTCGGAACAGTGCTCTAGTGGTGCAAGAGAATGGAGAGGAGAATATATGTTTCTTAGTATGGAGAGCTAAGTTATAAGAGCTTTCATTACCTTTGTCTATTGCCAAACCTTGGATATTTATAGGTGTAGAGCACTGTTGGATGTGGGACACGTGTATGCATCTGAAGGTGTGAGGCGTCTGCTCATAGGCATCACTCAGCCGCGTCTAGCGTGGGCGGGCAATTAGTTCTTCTGAGTTGAGTTGACATAAAGTCGATGTGTCATGTCAACTAGATCTATGGAGATGTCACGTCAAGATCCTGACAGATATCTTTCTGACAGTGACGGTGGAGGGATCTGTTAAGGGAGTGTCTCGGGTCCTTCAATGCTTCGACGTTGAGGGACACTCCGATTGCTTCATTGGATCTATTCACCTTACAGCGCGTCATGTTGAGGTCGTCAGGAATTAGCATCGCTCCGAAATCACTTCGAGTGGATGCATGGAGCTTCGGAGAGTGATATGACTTTATGTCGAAGTGGTTTTAGTGCCAAAGTAGAAGTGGATTGGTTAGGTGCGTAACAAGAACTATAAAAATGAATGGATTTTTACTTTCTCATTTGCTGAAATTTAGAAATTTTAGTGTCCCTTTATCAATTAACAATGATATTATCAAATGACAATGCATTTAAATACTACTTGTGGAAATAAAAATGCATTTGTTGAATTTAATTGTAATCATGTTAAGAATTAAGAATCACATAATTATAAATTAGTGGTTCGAATTCATACCTGCAAAAGCCATAGTTCATATGAATAATAGTATCTAAATTTTCCCCTCCTTACTCCTCACAAAAGTGTTGGCCATCAATGGAGCAAATCAATAAAACCATATGGAGAGGAGAGGGGACCTAACCTTTATATAGGAATTTATTTAGTCGTCCCACTATCTACTTAAACCCTAATTAGGGTTTACGTATAATTCCGATTCACATATTCGAAATTACCACATTATTTCAAATAAAACCCTAAAATGGCCCAAATTGATCACTTAATATCATTTTAAGTCATACATCTAACACGTAAAATTTACAATCGAATGTGAAGCCCATATTTGGAATTATTTCAACATTCTCCCACTTGGACAAACATTTGATTGTTAAAACAAACTTTTAACACCCGGGTTAGACTACATAGGTGACCACAAAAGTATAGCTCCAATGACGACACCTTACGTAACATGATCCGGTCTAACAAGAATATTAACATCGAACATGGAAGTCATTACACCAACTAAGCGATGTAAGACCATTCTACAGCTACAAATGCCAATATTCTTATTGACATGGATCCCCATCCTCCAACCAATATGGTAGTATGTGGTATGAGCTTAGCACCAAATGTGATAAAAAATTGTGCTAATTCATATCGGTCATCATAATGCTTCAGATCAAAATGAAGCCACATGTCTTAAAAAGAGACTCATCTTATGTCTTTATCTGTCATATCTCGAGATCTCAATAATATCATAATAAAAAGATATAAGTCAAATGCATTCTCAAAATAGTTCATGGATGGGGAAAATATATTTTATTATTGACAGAGGGGCTGTACCCAAAAACATGTGGGTTGCTTACGTATCCCGCAAAGGGATCAAGCCCAAAACATAATTCTTTTACACAAATAACTCCCACTATCCAAATATATCAAATGTTTCCACAACGCCCATATTAACAATATATGTCTTAAGGACTTTGGAGCGAGTCCTTTAGTCAAAGGATCTGCAATCATTGTCTCTGTATTGATATGCTCTATTTTCATTTGCCCTTCCTTGACTCTATTTCTAACCACCAAATATTTAATATCAATATGTTTTGACCCACCAGAACTTTTATCATTCTTTGAAAAGAACACTGCTACACTATTATCATAGTATATGGTGATTGGTTTTGAGATGAAATCAACAACTTTCAGGCCAGAGATGAAAATTCTTAACCAAACGGCTTGGACTGTAGCCCCATAACATACAACAAATTCAGCTTGCACAGTAGAAGATGCCACTAGAGTCTGTTTAACACTTTTTCAAGAAATAGCACAACCAGCTAATGTAAAAATATAACCTGAGGTTGATTTCAAATTATCTTGACATCCAGTAAAATCAGAACCTAAATATCCTACCACCTCAAGATGATTTGAACGTTGAAATATAAGCATATAACTTTCAATTTTCTTTAAGTATCTCATAACTTTCTTAACTACTTTCCAATGCTCTTGTCCTGGATTCGACTGAACCCTACTAAGGACGCTGACTACATAAGCTATATCCAGTCTAGTACAAACTTGAGCATGCATAAAGCTCCCCCACAGCACTAGCTTATGGAATCATCTTTATAGATTTCATTTCTAGCTCATTCATTGGATAATGAGTTTTGTTAAACTTATCTCCTTTATGATGGATACATCACCAG